GGAGGGGGCTAGGAGAATCTAATTATTATAGAAAATATTTATGGTAAAATGGTAGCTACCAGATTTCGACTAGAATTGCTACCAGATTGCTACCATAATTGCTACCAGATGGTAGTGGTAGCAATTCTGGTAGCAATAGTTTCTTGGAGGTTCCCCGGGACTGGAAATTGGTTTTATGGACGTCTGTAGTACAAAAGCTGTGTAGAAAACAGGAAGTCAAGGGAATTCCTCTATTTATGCTCAACTTTTATGTGAATTAAGTGTTTACCATGACGGTTATCAGAATCTGGTAGAATTTATGGTAGCAATCCAGGAGTCTACCAGAATGACTACCAGATGGTACTAGCTATAATTGCTACCAGATTGCGACCAGAAATGCTACCAGATTGCTACCACAAACACTACTACCATTATATATGCCGCGCTACCAGAAAGTTTTTTTAGAATTCTCAAAGCCCCCTCTTAAGTATAACTGTGTTAACCAGCGCCTTCTGGTTCCATTCTAGTAGTAGCGGGTCTAGTAGCAAAGATAGGTGGTAAAATCTTCAATGATGATCGTCCCTGGTCCTGCGGTCGGCTTGGTGTTGGATGTTGGATGCATTGGGAATTGCGACCGACCATTCGTAGAATTTAGTAGAAGTACCTACCGTAGACCAGCACCGCTTGGTGCCGCGTACCGTACCGTACGTACCGTTCAGAAAATTAGAACGAACGAACGAACGAACGAACGAACGAACGAACGAAAGACGGGACTTCGTTGCTTGCGGTACGGTATCGTACGTACCATGCGTACTTCGTACAGTAGATCGCAGTTACGTTAGTCGTGCTCGCTTTTCGGTTCTGGTACCGTGCCGTGCCGTACCATACGGTACCGTACCGCGTTCCTCCGCGCCGCAGCGCTTTTTCCAAGAAACTTGCTTCCGACCGAACGGCACGGCACGGCACGGCACGGCCCTCCCCCCTCCTTCCCGCGTCGTTCGTTGGCTGCCGCACCCCGGGCCACCAAGAGCCACGGCTACCGCCACGGCTACCGCCACGGCTACCGCCACGGCTACCGCCACGGCTACGGGCACAGCGACCGCGCGAAGCGAGAGCGGCCGCGGCTCGCTTCTCGCCTCCCGGGCGTTCCTCCCCCGCCTTCGGCGCAGCAGAGGCCTTGTCCGGTCTTCGAAACGGCAAGCCGAGCCGAGCCAAGCCGAGCCGAGCAGAGCAGAGCACATACAGCAGAGCACGGCACATACAGCAGAGCCGAGCACATAGAGCAGAGCACGGCACATAGAGCACGCCTCTCGGGATCCGATCCAAACAACCCAACCGAAGTCAACCCAACCCAACCCAACCCAACCCAACCCAAACCGCCATTCATTGCCGACACTGCCCACGAGGAACAGGAACAGGCACCGCATTGCACTGCATTGGATCGCATTGCATTACACCGCACCGCAGCTGCCCGTGGCGACCGGGACGATCGAGGAACCCCACTCCCGCGAATGAATGAAATGGAGCCCCCCGGAAGCCTCCCCCGCCTCCTGGTCCGCTCGTCCCTCAGGGGAATCGAGAAGGGGATCCCTTGGCAGGGTGCCCACCACCACCCACGCTTTGCCCCCGAACGGACGCAAGCGTTGGCCCTGGCGGACGACGAAGACGACAAAGACGACGACGACAAAGACGACGACGACAAAGACGACGAAACAAAACCCCTTTCCCCACCCATCGTGTGCGACCTCCTGCTCCTGCCGGAGCACCACCAGGGGGAGGGGGGGGACCCCCCCTCGCACGTTGTGTTGGCCTCCCTCCGGCCCCCGGGCGAGGCGTTCCTGGCCCTCGAGGGCCTCCCGGGCTGGTGGAA